GTATCTACAAATTGCTAGGAATTATAGAGGAATAGTTGGATAGAATCAATGGATGGCGCTACAAAATTCAAGAGGGTTTGTGTCTTCTGTGGAAGCAACCCAGGCTACAAGAAAATCTTCAGTGATGCTGCTGTTGAATTGGGCAATGAAATGGTTGGTTATTTTTCCTTCATAAAAGCGTTGATCTTTGTTTCAATATTGGATATTATTTTGCATTTTTTATTTCAGTGTCGAAACATTAAAGGGATTCTTGTGTTTGGCCTGGGTTTTTACAAGTTTTATGCCTTTTTAGATTGATTTCTTGGTGTTTTCTTTTGGTGAGCTTTATTGAGTATTGGTCTACTAGTCTTGCAAATTTTCCATATTTTTGAATTTATACTTTCTTTGATACCTCATACCTTTTTTTGATAATGCCGATAACTTGATTTCTGCTTAAAATCTCTTACTTGTTGAATATTGATTGTAGGTGAACAGGAAGATGGACTTGGTTTATGGGGGTGGGAGTGTTGGTTTAATGGGGCATATTTCCCAGAGAGTCCATGATGGGGGTTGTCATGTTCTTGGGTAAGTAAAATATCAACCTTAAAGTTAATATTTTCATGAGTTAACAATGGATTGATAACATTCAACTCCACTGTTAATTGCTTTGAATATGCAGTGTCATTCCGAAGGCTCTTGTTCCTATTGAGGTATTTCCTCATAAAAAAATTTGCAAGTTTTCCCGACTGTTCAATAATGTCTGAGCTACAATGTTCGCCTTGATTGTTGTTTGCTATCGACAATCTGAAATCATCCTGAAATTACAGATAACTGATGGGACTAGGACTGCTAGTGACTACTGAGGCTTTTCTTTCTAAAATATACTTGTACCGTGTTGATTGTACTATTTCTTGATTGTGCTTTTTGAGTTGCATTTTTCTATATCTGAAATATTCGGTTATTTATGCATTGGATGACAATGCCGTTTCCTATAGAGGTGACGAAGGGAAATGCTATTAGAATATGTTTGATAGTTCAATTCAAGTTCTCCATTGATCAGATTGTTCTTCTGTGGCATTGTTTATCTCGAATAAGATATTATTGAAATGAATCCTAGTGACAGATATCCGGTGAAGCTGTTGGTGACGTAAGAATTGTCTCTGACATGCATGAGCGTAAAGCTGAAATGGCTTTGGAGGCAGAGGCTTTTATTGCTCTTCCTGGTAATTATCTGGAAGAGTTTATGCTTTCCTCCATTAACCTGTAGGGCAACATTTCCGTGTTGTGAATATTGTAGGAGGATATGGAACTATGGAAGAGCTATTGGAAATGATAACATGGGTACAACTTGGAATTCACAAAAAACCAGTGAGGCGGTGGCGCAACTATGATTGTCATGTTAGATTTAGATGAGATGAATTGCTTGCTTATAATGTGTTATTCGTTATACAGGTTGGCTTGCTAAATGTTGATGGATACTATGACTCTCTGCTCATATTATTTGACAAAGGTGTTGAAGAAGGTTTCATTAAGCCAGGTGCTCGGCATATAGTTCTTTCGGCTCCAACTGCCAAAGAGCTTTTAACAAAAATGGAGGTATCAATCTTCAAGGCTTCACTTTCAATTTTTTTCCTCGAGTGCCCAGGTCCCCAAAGTTAGCTCAAATAAGTAGGTGATAAGTAATGTGATGCTCAATCCTTAATGCTTCGGTGTTCGGATTCCAGATAGAGGTTTAAATTATTTTTTAAGCTTTGAGTAAATTGAAATGATAGTTTGTTCTCTTATCATGTATGCTCTCTTGATGAGATACTATCAAAGGTAAAGGTGGAAACTGAACACTGATTTGGGCTGTGGCATTGGAAGTTTGCTTGGCCAAAGTTTTCTTACCATGGAGGCCATGTTGAAAAGTGTACTAGGAAATTCAAACCAGTTTCTCAAATTTTCGAGTATTCTAGGTTTGCATTAGTTTAGTCAAATGAATCGAAAGATTCATATTTCAGTTTGCTCTTTCCTGTGAGATCAAATATAAGTATAGTGTCGCTACAGTAGAATAATAACTAATGATCAAAAACATTATGCATTTCTGCAGCTACTTGTTGCTTGAGTGACCTTGTATGATGCGGGGACTGATTCTGTTGTTTAACTTGCAGCAATACACTCCATACATGGACCATGTAGCCCCTCATGAAAGCTGGACGATGGAGCAACTGGGTGATTACCCAACCGAAATCAAGACATGAAGAAATTCTTGTTTTCTGGTAGGCCTATCTCTCAAATTAGTCCATAATGTCATTAGATCTGATTGATTGTGAGTTAAAAAGTGTCTTCATGGCCGCATATAATGCATTACTGCGTACCCTTTTCATTCTTTGTAGTCTGGATTCCATCTGAATTTTCCTTTGGGTTTCCCACAACTCTGTTATATTTGAATGGTTAAACAGTGCACCATTGTTCTTCATTCTTGCTATTTTTAGTTGGAATGCAATTAGTTCAACCGGATTTCATTGTGCATTACTTTTTTTGTATTTCCGATTCTGTGCATGTCCTATTGTAAATGCTCAAAATGAGCATCAACTTCACAAGTGAAAAGGCCCAAGCCACACATAATATTAAACAAGATACAAAGA